TTCCGACCCAGGGCTTTCAGTCTCACGCGCGAACGCTTACCTCTAGACCAATGGACCGGCATCCAACGGTGTTCGTGTCTGACCTCAACTAGTGATCATAGATGAGCACTGTTGAGAAGTCTCGTAATAGGGCGAAACGGGCGTTCATTGCTTCCAGGTTTCCAATCGTGGTCTTACATCAATCGATTCATGATCTCGATCAAAAATCTTAATAACCTTCACAACCCAATATTGATATTTTTATTTACTCGGAGAAAAGTAGAATAATCAAACCTAGAAATGTGTATACTTGAATTTCAAGTTTAAATGATTTAATATTCGTTCAATAGTTTAATTAACTTCACATCACATCAGTTGTGAATGTAGATGTAAACAGATTGATTTCAAAATCAGTATATTGTCTGATCTAAGTATTAGACAATATTTCGTAATATATGTATTTTATGACACTTAAATATATACTGTTCGCTATTAATAATCACAAAAAATTATGGAAGAACATTGTAAACAATAATGGAATATAAAAATCGTATTGGTACAGTTATTCTATAGTTTCGTTTAAATTCATAAGTAAAATTAATGTATTCTGACTGCTAACTTTTTAAACTTTCTCTGGTACATATCTACATAATTGACTCTCCGTTTGTTTACCGGTAAACTCCACATGTAACTTTTTGGGTTACGGCCGGTCACAAGTTCAGGTAAAACAAGAAGATTAGCCATGAAGTTGGCAAACTACTCTCTTAGAAAAAAACTTTGCTAAAAAAACAATATTATTTACTTGCAATCAGCTAGATCAAAATCAAGGACCATAAACATCAAGATTGAATACTAAATATTCTTACGAGAGCTCATAACTCTAATAGTCAATAGGAGGGTTTATCCATCAATAATAGTGAATAATCGCGTAGCAACTGAAATAAAATGCATTAATTCTAAAAAAGAATGATTTATAAATATAATTAAACAAAATGCCTACTTCTTCGAAATTGTACTTTATCTGAACACAGAATTTAATAGTAATTAGGTTCTTTTCATTTATTCCAAGTTCAATTTCAACTAAACTATATCAGTACAGACCCACTGAATGATAGGTGATCTTATTCCACAACAACTATTTAGAATAGTCAAGAATTTTACTTATGTGGTCTCAAAATGTCATTTTTAAATCTACAACCTAAGCCTACAACCTGATACAATGAAAACGAAAGAAATGCCCTACAGAATAGATAGTACCTGAAGGAGAAGAAAAGGAAAGTGATTGATTTCCTTAAAAATGACCATTTATAGAGGAAATATTCTCTTTTAAGTTACAGGATACCGATTACAACTTTTAAAAAACTCATAAATCAGATTGTCAGGATATACATAAAAGTCAATTTTTTGGTTATCTTTATTCATTGAACAATGAATGTGAAAAAAATTCCAAAATTATTTTTTATTCGACTAAGTTTGTAATTTAGTTTTATACCAAGTTCAGGGTGTTTTCGTTAGTGATCAAGTTTCAATTCTTTTTAATTAAAGATTATCTGGTACTTGAAGGAAACTGGTTATGTGGTGTGTGCTACTTATATTGATATAAGTAATATATGGCGCGAGTCGGGAATGTAATATCTGGCAACAGAAGATGAGGACGATCAAGAAAGAAAGAGCGGAAATAGAAAGCAATTAGTATGGAAATGCAAGGACAATGAAGTTTGAGACAATTATTGAACATTTTGCAAATAAAGTATTGTAGTATGGTTTTTCTATTTTACCAAGTAACTCTGTAACTCAGCTGTCCTCACTTGTGTTCTCCTTCACTATGGTTACAGCAGTGAAGAATCATTAATATAATAAATGTTCCAGTTATATGTATCATAATCATCTTAAAGAAACAGAGCAAATAATCCGTATTTATAATACAATGCAAGTTCCTGTAATATATCTAGTTCGTTAAGCCAACTTTGATGAATATTTTAGTATCAGAATGGGTTTTGTGGAGATTTTAGAAATTTCACAGATTGAAATCATGAGTCAGTTGAAGATAGACTACCATTGAAAACCTGGAAGCACTGGACGGTCGTTTCATCCTAGTATGGGACTCGTCAGCAGTGCGCATCCACGATCCCATACTAGGATGAAACGGCCGTCCAGTGCTTCCAGGTTTTTAACGGTGGTCTAGCTTCAACTGACTTATGATTTCAATCTGTGAATATTTTAGTGTTAATAGCATAACTGGTTTATGAGATATTATCAGATTTTAGTTTAAACTAATGGGTGACATATAAATTTCACTATTCATGGATAAGTTTTCTATGTTTAATGTTTTCCGTTTTCATGTGTGCCTAATCTGTTGACATTCACTTATATTGGTACACCTTGTTTCTATTTGAGAGGAAATTTTCCTGCTTTGAAAAACTGTAATAATTTCTTGGAAATTCATTTCTGCTATACTATTTACTATGAAGTAATAGCCAAAATAATTGTTATAGTGAATTAAATCTTTGAAATAATTTCCATTGTCACTTCCATTTCATTGTACTTTGTCATGTTCTTCATTATTTTCACCATGTTTATAAAAAAAACATTCAACTTACTAATTTAATAAAACTCTGTTCACATTTTTTCTAATTCCCATCATTTTACTTTAACATAGTCAATCGTTTGATTATTATTTTTAATACTGACTATTAAAGCCTTACTTATGGTAAATCTTAAATAGACTAAATTATACGTAGTATAACAATAATAATAATTTGGTTTCACAATCTCGGATAGGATTTAATTCTGATTTTAATCCTTGAAATGAGTATGGTAACTTTAAACTACATAGTTTAAATCTTATGTGCTAAATATTCAAATTATCAATAGTTCACTGTGTTCGAGAAAAAAAACATTGGATATATATTCACGATTTACTCAAACATAAATAAAAATAGCACATATTGTTAGAAATGACTAATATCTCTATCATAATAACAGCCCCTAAATGCCCTGGTACGACCGAGAGTGGAGAGAGTCCGCTCTCCTTCTCGAAATGCTCTCACATGGCCACGCGTATATAGCCTCTGACAGGGAAGTCCTACTCACTGCCTTCTTGTGGCGGAGGTGTTGTTTACGAAAATGAGAGGACGAAAAGAGAATGTCCGGCGCTTCAACCGGGTCGGTGAACCCTAAGGGAGTTGGAAAACCCTGGTCCCAAACCAATGGTACACATGGACCCCAGTATCCTGAAGGAACAAGTGGTATATGAACCAACTGTTGGTCACCGGCTATCATGGGACCGCATCTCCTTACGTCTCTCCACTGCCTTGTAGGTCAGACCTTTGAGTCAAAGACTCCGGGTGTGGCCTCCTAAGAAAACCAGTTGCTTCGGTTTGGGCACCCGGGTAGTATCACAGTCGTCACACATATCAAATGAGATTTGTGTGGCGCATATGTATTTGATGCCTCTTTGTACCAATATCTATGTGTTAAAATAAATAATTAATGACAGCGTCAGTCAGAATGAAAGAATGTTACCATTTTGATGAATATTTGCTAATGTACAGGTTCAACAGTTCTTAAACCTGACTTTGACTATAAATGTACAAATTATGCTGATAGTACTATAAAAGATTACATTTCTTACTATTTAGAAATAACAGGAAGGATAAAGAGCTCAATCACTTTGTCATTTCACGTATTACTCACTAACAACTTATCAGTAAATCTATGACCATGTATTAATTAGATTCTTCGTTTGTCCTACAAGGATTACTTGATTACTTGAATCAATTATTCAGATTAAACTATTTAAAATGAACTATGGCCTTTAAAATCTCATGAAATCATCAATCGTTTATAAATTAGGTTTAAAGATTATCTAACTATTTTAGGTATTAAAATAAACAACCAAACAACTCACTATAAAATTTCTTAAAATGCCTAGAAGTACTTGATTATTTTCAGATCTAATATTTTCAATATCTTTAGTATAAGAATATACTTTAGTTTCAATAAACAACAAAATATGGTATATTCCAATCTATTTAATAACTATTTGTAAACTTCAAAACCATCAACTAAACACAAATAATTCTTTGTTCAGTTTTTCAACATTATCGAAATAAAGCATTAAAATGCTAGTTATCTAACAAAAATACTCGTTTTCTATGAATGTTTACTCTTCAAGTAACCATTTAACTTTACCAGTTATACTAATGTTTATATGTTCATTCATTTTTATAATGTGAGCATAAACCATTCTAATTTGCCTTTGCATATCTCATAGCTCTCACAAAAACAATAAAATTATCAAATTAAAATATTTACAAACGATGTACAAACAAGAATTAAACGCTTACTAAGAATAAACTTTATCAATAGTTAAAAGTGATATCATTGTCAGAAGGGGTTTTGTGGAGATTTTAGTAATTTCAGTAGTTCAAATCAGCAGTGCGTATCTACGATCCCGCCTCGTGCGAAATTCGAACCCAGGACTTATCAGTCTCGTTCTATATTAGGACGAAACAGCCATTCTGTGCTTTCAGGTTTTCCATGGTGGTCTAACTTCAATGAACTCATAATTTCAACTATTGATATCATTATATTAAAAAGAGTACGGTAACATTTCATTAAACCAACGTTTATTTTCTATCAATCTGTTTATAGCAAAGCTTATAATGTTAATGAACATTTATTTATTTTGTAACTAATTATAAAATATACTTAGTGTGAAAAAATAAAAACGCATAGATACTGACCATATTGATTTTAATTATTATCCAACATTGTCTGAAAACAAAAATCGAATAGTTGGGACAAAAAAAAGAGTTTAAAAATAGTATTAATAATTATGTAACTTGACATAAATAAATGAACAAGATATTTACTTAAATACTTTGAATAATGTTCATAACAAGCAAAAGGTAATCGGAAATTCCGGCAGGAGAGAGAGAGAGGGAGGGAGAGAGAGAAAAAAACCCAACAAAAACATGAACATGCATGAGTTTAACAATAAAGTGAAAAAAACAAGTTGATTGAAGAAAAAAAAAGAAACAAACATAATTTTTGTTTATTGATGATGTAATGAATTTATATGATCGATAACATGTAAGAGAAGAAAAGAATCTATCGTGTGAGAAGGTATAAACAATGAGATTTGGTGTTAGAGTTAATATTGTCAGTAGACAGATATATATTTGTATAGTGATACTCTGAATTACTGATTTTGATCATTTTTACAATTGTTCATTTCAATTAGATGCTTTTATTTCCCTGATGTGAAAGTTTTGATTTGTTATAAGAGAAAAAAAGAAAAACTGATAAATAATAATAATGTAATTAATAACTATTAGATTTATTATTAATAAGTCGATATAGGCATTGTTCTTTAGCTATTTCTGGTTTTAAACCCATTAATGTCCAATCACATGGATTATAAAATGAATGATTACCACCACATGTAATTTGTTCATAATTTAATTCTTTCATAAATTCTTTCTAAAATTAACAACAACAACAAAATGAATTCAATAAGTAACATATTAAAGTGAATATAGTTTTAATTAGAAAGATTTTACTTTATATAATAAATTCTCATGAATTGATACATATTCTATTAAACATATTTGAGTACTAGTTTGTTGTTATTAGTATTATTCTATATTGTTTTTAAATGATTCAATTGAAGATATTAGTCTTTTTAATTACAAATACAATATAATTCATTTTTACCAGAAATAAATTTATCAATTATAACATTATATTCTACTACTTTGAATGATCAATTATATGTAATGAACTAGATATACATCTAAATTCTATTGAATATACTTTATAATGACATTTTAAAGAAGAATATTACGATATGTTTACGAAAAAGAGAAGAAAACTTTGGTGAGACTATAATTTATAAAACAACTAATGAGGTATAAGATAATAGATCTCGGATTTTAGCGCAAAATTCACTCATTCAATTAGCTAAATAGAGTTTTGACATTATAGCTGATATCAGTTTGTGATGAAAACCTAAAATCTAATTCTTAACCTTAACCATCAAATGTAAGTCATCATTCTAATTCCTTACATTAGTTTATAACCTTTATTTGGTTCTAGTTATTAAGTGGGCACGCTCAAATTCAGTTTAGCGTTACTTAAAGATTGTCCATGAATTATAGTCTCATCAAAATTTTCTTTTCAATGAAATCATTTTCTTAAACTGTACATACATATTTATATTTATATGGAAAATATATATGTCTATTGAAGGATAGAAATGATGTCGTCGAGAAGTAAAATTTTCTTTGTTGAATTCTCTTTTTCTTATTCAATGATGTAATGAGTTATTTTAGATATATTTACATCAGTTGACTTCATTCATTTGAATTCATGTAATATTAGAAGTACTTTTTCTTCATATAAAATAAACCAAATAAAAATGTCAAAATTTATGTACTTCATCTTATACTCTCAACATACTTTTTTTTTAGTCTGTTTATTATTTTATTCATTTTATAAAATAGTTTTATTTTAAAATATTTAAATTATATTTGACTTACCATTTTTGTATTCGTTTCCCAAACAAAATGATATGACCCATAATTTGTTGCTCTTAAAAATTGTTCTACTGTATATTTAATTAATGCTCGATTAATTTCATCTTTTGATGCAACTCTAAGTGTTGATACATATGCTGAACTAGATGGTATTCGTCGATTATTTGGTTTAGCCCATTCATAACATTTTGTAACAAAGTCAAGAACTGATGTTATCATACCAGGTGCATACATATCACCTAGTTTAGATGTTGATAAAACTAAATTAGCACCATTTAATTTACTTTCTGAATTATCAGATTGTAGAGTTATCTAAGAAAAATAAAGTCAAGAAAAAATATGATAATAACCATGAAATGAGCATATATCAGAATACCTCAATGACTATTGTAAAATAATCACTTATGTTCAACAACATACAAGCGGTTAAAATGAGTAAAGAACATAAGAGATATTTTTTTATGCATCTCATTAAAACTCTCGAGCACATATATATATATTTTAAAGAAGGATAAAAAAAATGAAACTACTTACAGAGGATAACAATTGATCAGCAGATTTCCAAGCAAGATATATATGTGTATAATACATTGAGTAAGGAATTTGTAAATCGTGTACTTTTGCTTCACTTTCTTCCGTGCGATTAGTGAAATAACTAACGATTCGATATAATGGTGCACTGGTTATTGTTTTTATCACATAACCTTTGTAGATTTCTGTGTCTTCTGATTTTGAAACGTTAGGATATAATAATCCAACTGTATTAGATTTAGAAGAACTCATAATCGTAGTTAATAATAATGCACAAATGAAAATGTATGTAATCATTATCCTATAAATAAAATAAAATAAGAGGATGAAATAGAAAATATGTATATTTACCTTTTGGGAAATTGTAAATATTCACTTTATAAGTAGTAACTAAGAGTTTATCACGTTTATTATCTACTTATCATGTGGATATTTATATTTTTCTTAAACCTATGAGAGACTTATAATTTGGTAGTCATATGTTTGATTTATTTTCTTTTTAACCAATCCCGTTAATAAGCTATAAGAATAATAATTTCCCCTAGATATTTTTCACCTTTATTCACAATAAGTTAATTTTATTTTTAACGAGATAGTATTGGTTAATAGTATACATCCCTTTAATACTAAATGGTAATATGATTTAGTCAGTATAATATTTGAAACAAAAATATATGAGCAGGGACAGTAAATTAAAGCAGGTAAATATAGCTAGAGATATTTAAAGGATAGATTATTTCCAGTTCTTAGAATGAATCTTATTATTTAACCAATAATAACAATAGAATGTATAAGTTAATAATTTTAACCCTTAATTATAAAATAAATTTATTTAGTTTATATTTGTAACTAAGTAAACTTTTAATTTCTCGTGTAACATACTTTCTGATGAAATTATTAAAATATTTTCTTATATCTGTGTAATCATAATTAATCATCTATTCAATTCTGATAATAATCACCTACTCACTAGTGACTAACTTCAAGAGACACTCTCGGAGTTCTAATGAGGAGCTATGATCAGTGGAATTCAATCAGGTCTGTTGTGAGATATCAGCTTACTGAAGATAATGGTGTACGTTGGCGCAATGTCGTGGATTTGTTGAAGTTAGATATTAACACCGTTGGATGGCGGCTCAGTAGTCTAGTTGGTTAAGAGCCTGGCGCGAAACTGATAGGTTCTGGGTTCGAATCTCGCGGGAAGCGGGATCGTGGATGCACACTACTGAGAAGTTTCATACTAGGACAGAACTGCCGTCCAGTGCTTCCAGGTTTTCCATGGTGGTCTAGCTTCAATTGACTCATGATTTCAACTATCGAAATTCATTAATGTTGAATAGATATAAATAATTAACTTGCTCATTCATCTAGACACCCTATCAGTTCATTAGGAACTGTTTCCTAAAAACCTCAACTATTCACTTTATTTCAATCATGATATGATACACTTGATTTTCTTATGAGTAAGAATGAATATGCCTCAATGACTGTAAAGGAATTAAAAGAAAGTTAGCATTAGGTGTAATGTTTATAACAATATAATTTCGATATGACGATGGTATACGTTTATTATGTTTATAAATTTTCAACGGCACTCATTCATTACAGTTACGTTACAAGATCAAGATATTTCCATTACTTCAGTAATAATATGTATAGTACATGATAAGGATTATAAAAAATATATACAAATCTATTTCGTTTTATGAAAAATCATTGCGTTTTACGTTTTCTACTTAGAACACTTCATAAGATTTTTAAGTAAGACAAAAGCCTTAATCACTTGTTCATTATAAAATATTCTTAAACAGAAACAAAACATAATTATTAAGTCAGTTAAAAATCAAATTTGCAATTTCACAAATATTATTGTTTGATGTTTATCAGTATTTCTCTAAGACGTTTTATCTTTATTAGTTGGAGATAGTCAGTGAAAAATCCAAACTAGACAAAGATTTCATAATATCTAGCATTCATCATCAAAACACTCCTGTAATCCTAACAGAACCGATGTCTATCTAATGGATTTGATCTCTTGACACTAGGCTCCATAGTCATAAGATTCACTACTGAACTAATCAGGAAGTGATTGATTTCCTGTAATACTTAGAATTTCACAAATAATTGATTACTCGGTTTTTTTAGAGCTGATCGAGTTCTGCCGATCATCACAAACTGTATATTAAACTAATGTTAAATGAAATCCTTAAATATCTTGACTAAATAGTCAAATGTAAAATACTTTTTGTAAACGTTTATCGCATTTTTTTCTGTTTCTGAAATAATAAGAATTCTACATATTTTGTCACCCTACTCTAAATTTAAATAGCATCCATTTAGTTGTCAAATTGAAAATAATAATAATAACCGGAAAATTTTCTTACTGATCATCAGAATCAGTAAAAATAAAGTATTCACGTAAACTTCGTGGATTGGTTGAAGTTAGACATCAACACAGTTGAATGCCAACTCAGTGGTCTAGTTGATTAAGCGCCTGGCGCGAGATTGATAGGTCCTGGGTTCGAACCTCGCGGGGTGCGGGATAATGGATGCGTACTGCTGAGGAGTCCCATACTGGGACGAAACGGCCGTTCAGTACTTCCAGGTTTTCCATGGTGGTCTAACTTCACTTGACTCATGATTTCAACAAGAGATATTCATGTAAACGTTTTTTTAATTTGAATTGGTTATATAGTTTCTAGGAAGATATTTGTAAATCTCATTAATTAAGATATTCACATTATTATTATTATTATTATTATTATTATTATTATTATTATTATTACTATTATGAAACCTAATCATAAATCGTACGTTTATAAAACATCAAAACAAAATAATAAGTACATTAAAGCAATTAGTCCCTTTGATAAATTTCGATAATGTAATAAACAGACGAAGATTATCAGAACTATGTGATATATTAGTGCAATACATTACAAACAATCTGACCACACATATACTTGTTAACAGCATTTATATATAAAAATAAAAGGTCAACTATACTGTAAATGGGGTAAGAGGAGACAAGGATATTTATAAGAGTATATGTGTGATCAAATAGTTCAAAATTTATTGCGCTAATATATGGCATATTTCTGATTATCTTCGTCATCTAAGTACATTAAATTTATAGTTATATGTTAATTTTATATAATGGAAAACTGAAATGAAATATCTTTCAAATTCATTTAAAACTAACTCATCATTGGTAGAATTTTGTAGTTTAGCTGATATACTACTGAATTCATGTTAGTCTTTTTTAGCTATTTCAATTCAATCTAAGTCAGTTACAATTCTTCTAAAGTATCTTAAGTATCTAAACACGAAAGTTATATCCATGGAAATTAATCCTAAATATTTTGTCGTTAATATTTTTCTTTCGTTTTCTGATTGATTTGTAATTTAAAAACCAGTAATCTTTTTTTAAAAAAAAACTAAGTTTCAGTAAAACAATAATTAAAACAAACTCTCATTACTTTTGAAATTAACTTATTTTTTCTGGTTATCGTTTCTATAGCGAGTTAGTTTTCTACGGGTTTGAATTTCTAACCCTATGCCCAACCCTCCTCTTTTATCCAGATTTGGGATCGGTAATAGCCCCAGTGGGGCTCCAGGTGGAGTTTTTGAAATTAAGAAATAAACTAACTATACAATGAAAACATTGTTATATCATTTAATCATTCGATAATGAGTGAAACTTATTCTAAAAAATACACATAAATATAGTAAATAAGTTTCATTAAGAAACGTGAAGTCTCTTTTCTGAAAAAACGTGCATACAAAGAATGAAAGAAAGAAAAAAAAATGAATTTCAGACAAACTGGGTCTTTCTTTCTTCTGTTGTTGATTATTCACCGAATTTTAATACTTTGTTATTCTTGTACATTTCACCAACATACAACTCCTTCTTATTTACAGTCGGATAACATCAAAAGTTTGTTCGAAAGATGAAAAAAAGAAGAAGTGATGAACATTTACATGCAACATCTGAAGTAACAAAAGAAAACGAAAAAGGAAAACAAAAGTTAGTTGCATGCAGTTGAACTAAATTGGTTTAGTGAGAGTGATTTTGTTGTTGTTCTTCTATTTATCTACTTATTATTAGTAGTACTATTATTGTTATAATAATTATTAATGACATTACTGTCCATTAACTGTGATATTTATAAAATATATATGTATATTTCCAGTCTACCACAAACTTAATATTATAATAACTTTCATAGTAATAAATTAAATAGAGTTTAAATATTGTAACTATTATGTAATCAGTCAGTATTAGTTAAACTAGACTCTTGTCGTAGCCATTTTTTGATAGTTTTATTAAATGTGAAAAACAACGATGAAAAAAATACAAAAAAAAGAAGGATGTTTCTTTTTTTTTTCATCACCAAAACTAAATTTACTGTTTACTAAAATAAATCAAAATGATGATACATTAAATAATACATATTCATTAGAAATTTTACTATAATCGACGTCATTGGCATTATACCAGGCGTATAATTGTGAACTGAATCATTGTATAGTAAAATTTATAATTGTTAAATGTCTAAAAAAGTGCTGTTCATAAACTATAAGATTATTTTACAATCTAAATGTCAACAATAAATTTTGTAACATTTTAAGGATAAAACAAGCAATTGTGTTAATACTTTAATATTCATAAAAGATAGTTGAATTTTAATGACTACCACGATGTGTAATGTTTTATGGTATAGGAGTAGGTTGGAAGAAAGCTAGGAGTGGCCAGAAAAAAACACGGCACAAATTCATGAAGTCACAACAGACCCGGTTGAACTTTTTTCTGATATGAATCAAAAAATACTCACTAGTGACTGACTTCGAGAGGTATTTCCTGGAGTTCTAGTGAGAAACAGTAACCGGTGGAGTCCAACTGGGTCAGTTGTGAGATAATAACTCAGTGAAAACAATGGTGGATGTGTCGCTCAATTTCGTGGATTGGTTGAAGTCAGACATTAACACCGCTGGATGCTGGCCGGCTCAGTGGTCTAGTGGTTAGGCGCTCATGTGCAAGACTGATAGGTCCTGAGTTCAAACCTTGCAAGGCAGGATCATATATGCGCACTGATAAGGAGTCCCACGATGAGACGAAACAGCTATTCAGTGCTTTCAGGTTTTCCATGATGGTCTAGCTTTAATCGACTTGTGATCTCAACCATTGAAATTAATATACGATCCACAAAGCCCCTTCTGATATAAAAAAAGAATAGTTGAATTTTAATTAGCAGTATCGTATTATTTTTGGGGAATTTCGAAAATATTGCCAACAGCATCACTCTGTATGATCAAGTAATCAAAATCATATTTTCCTAACATTTATCTTAGTTTTCTACTGCAGTTATTCATATCAAAAATATAGTAGATAGTCAAAGAATTCCAAGAAACTACAATGGAAGTAAGCAAACATGGATAGTGGCTAGCAGTGGAATCCAGGACGCACGCTTTGTCCTATTTGGGACTCGTCGGTTGGTTGTACCTGCATCTCAGAGTTGATGTTCACTCTGGGACCCGAAGCCAGTACCATTCGCTTCAACCGAGCATCGTGGATTCCACTACTATCCACTACCATCTTTACTTATAAAAGCTTGTGAATTAAGGCAATATCGAGGCATATGCATAGTGTACACATATGCCAATAACAGACTGATCAACTGCAGTCTTAAAGCTGGGTGAGAAGATACAAGCAAAACAATACCAAGTGAATTTACAATGGAAGTACTTTTAAATACACATTTCAAATCGTTCATTATACTACTTCAATTCCATAGATTATAAGTAGTTTCAATCCTTAGTTTTCATTATGTGAAAACATCTTTTGTAATTTTATAATTATCATGTTATTTTAGACGGGTTCTTAAATATTTATCTTAAAAGTTAAATTTCGTACATTATCCAGGTTATAGTAACTTGTAAAGTATCAATTGACGAAATTCACTAAATTCGCCATCTTTAATAACAAACATAATGTTATTGTAATATACATAAAATGTATACACTTGAATAATTTTAAAACTCAAACTCTAATTATCGTGTTAAAAACACACCATCATTAAGTAAGTAACAAATGTAATTATTATTTGATAGTCTAGAAGATCAGTTTAAACTGTTTATATATTATAAATAAAATTTGGATATTTATTCTCTGAAGAAGTGACTTACACTAAGTCACGAAACGTCAGAAAATCCAATTTTCTACTCATTGGGATATTACAAATATATTATTTTTATTTATAACAATCAACCCAATGCTCAATTTATTCGAAATTATCAAATCAAACCTTGGTAATGACACCTGTTTATATATTCTTGAACAGATTGTGCCACTTACCATCCCTAAGGAATATACTCGATTTTGGTCCAAAAAACAAGTTTGAACAGACAAATTACTTTTCATATTTCATGAATGATAAATTATGAATGTTTTGTATACGTAAAACAACAATAATACAATAACTGATGACGGAGTAAAATTGTTTACAATGCATATGGGTAGGAGGGAAAATGTGCTTGAAGGAAATTATCTTCTACATGTTTATAGATAAAAACTAAATTTACTGATAGACTGAATTTTTTCCAAAGTTGTCGTAATTCCAAGTACTATACCATAACATAACACTTTATATAACTAAATATTTTAATATAAAGCAAATAATGAGCTGGTCTAATGTGAGCTGAAGAAAAGATAAAATTGAAACTGAACTTTCAAATCATATCTAAGATCTAGGATACATCGAACTACATGGAATCTAAGTTTCGTATATCTAAACGATTCTATTTTAATCAGTAATATTTACTCAAAATCAGGTAATAATATACACCACATGGCAAGAAATCATTTTTATCGACAGACAAATTTTTGCTATCATTTCTCATTCAAGACAGATACTGTGTGTTGGTAGAACAGCTATAATTAACATGCAATTTGTTTCTTTCATAGTCTAATCATTAAATATTCTCTTGAAGCCCATACATTATTGAAATTAGTTTCGATAAGCTTTAATTTGTTAGATTTTCAAAGTACTTAATAATATGACTGTTTTTCAGTCATCCGATTATAACTAATCTGTAGTTTTGAATCTTAAACTTTATTTCACATAGTAGTATACTTTTTAAAAAATACAGAAGAAATAATAATGTCACTTTCGTTACGAGATAAACTTGAACACGTTTTAAAGTTTTTTAATATGACATCTGATTGTTGAATTTCTTAATTAGCCTAACGATGAATTTTCTATTATGTCCGAATAATAACATAAGTTTGTTATCAGATCATATTACTAACTACTAAATCATATCTATATAACAGATTATTTTGTAAAATGTTTACATACTTTCCCCCACTGTCCTTCTTAAAGAATAGTCTGCCGAAAAAGGATCTAAATGCAACCCTATCTCAGCCTGTTGTTTATAGCTGATTCTGAGAACTATTAACATTCCTAATATCTGGCTCAAAGTCCGGCGCAATGTGTCGCTTGATCGTCCTCATTTTCATCTCCCTTCTGGATCCTAAGTTAGCGCTTGCTTCGTGATGCAGTTTAGTGGTTTCCCCAGTGTGTACTCTATCCACCTCCATAGTTTCCTCATAATTTCCTCTTCAGATGGAAGCTGATTTGTTCTCAGCCACAGTAGATTATTTCTCGTGGTCTTTGACTAATGGATTAAGACTATCTTGTGTAGACGGTTGTTCATGAATACCTATCCCTTTTCGATGATGATTGTAGTTTTCTAACTTTGAGCTCCGTACAACAAGAATGTCTTGACGTCTATATTGAAAATTCTGATTGCGATATCTGATAGCCTTTTGAGTCTCAAATATTTGACACCTCATGAAATACCGTTGTCGCTTTGTTAATTCAAACCTTCACATTTGCACCAGAAAATCTTTGTTTATCGACGATGCTCCCCAGGTATATAAACCTTCCGCCTCTTCCAGATTTTCTTCATCAAGTGTGATCTGGTTAGTGTTCTCTGAATTGTATTTCAGGATCTTGATATTTCCCATATGATATATTCGGTAGCAAATACGTAATTGCAAAATACTGACATTTTTTTAAAATTTCGAAATGATATCATGCAATATGAAATTGTATCTGAGAAAAGCTGCACATTTATCCATTGAACGATTTCAGAGGTTATACAGATAAATAAACGTTTAAAGGTAATCTATTACTATGGGATAGAGAAATTTTGTTCCTTATCAAAGTATACGTACTCGATGATATTCAAACAATTCAAGTTAGTATTTTAAGCATATTTTTATTATAAACGAGATTACAAATACTATAATGTGACTGAATTATTCATTTCATAGATGTTAGTTTAACGATTTACACTTTACTCAAATGAATAAAAAATTTGGAATAAGTATCCAAATAACTGACATGAACTGTCTTTCTACTACTAGCATCATATCAAAGTTTTTTAAATGTTGAAATGATGAGTGTTGGAAGTTTCAAAACATTTTCTAATTTTGAAAAGTTGTTTTTCATTGCTAATTAAAATAAGTCGATGGACCACTGAAAACTGTAAAGAATAAGATGGCTTTCTATACTAGTTTAGGACTTTTCACCAGTGATCTGGTTTTGAATTCAGTCGTTTCAAATCCTATGGTAAATCAGATAGCCGTGGAACTCTAAGCTGAGATCTAATAATTGTTTTTTCTATCTTTAGTCAATTAACAATGTAACTGTATGATAATCAATTGTCATCCGTGATATCTGGTTCATTAGTGTTACAGTTAAACTTTACCGGTCACTGTCCCCACACTAAACCTTCAATAATTATCTCTAAGGCTATAAATTAGCGGTCAATGAAGTATTGTAGGTGATTAATAGATATTGTTCGACGCGAAGCTCATTTTGATCATGAACGGTTACTTGGAAAAAGTCACTGAAATCTATTGAGCACTCAAACATTAATTTCTGAAACACTTATTATTTTGTGGAGTTTTAAAGTTCATTTCA